ACCACATCACCCCTTACATCTGGCCACCTAACTCCCCAGATTGCAACCCCCTTGATTATTATTGTGTGGGGCACAGATGAACGAGAGACCATCAAAACTCCTTGTAACACCAAAGATGAACTGAAGGCAAGGATTATGGCAATACTCACCAACTTAAACAAGGAGACCATCCAGAAGAGTTGCAGGAGATTCTGGTCGTCTGGAGGCTGTGGTTAAAGCCAATGGCGATTTTATTGAATAAATTTACTCTTTAGTATTTCAAGATATTTTTGTGTAATTTTGGTAAATGTCAATGTTATACCCATTTTTATATAATTTAGATGACAATTTATATATATATATATATATATATATATAAAGTGAACATTGAAGTCAACACTTAGAGGCGTGTTGACTTCAATGTTCACTTTTATATTTACACACTCTCTATCTCTGATATTGAGCACTTTATCCCATAAATATAGCACACCATAAGACTATATTTCTTTATATATATATATATCATTCAATTTAAATAGAAAACAGACAACCTTAAGGGTCCATTGTTTAGAATTTATTTCCCCTGGTATGTAGTTATTACCTGGTTCATCAGAACACACTTCCAATTTACCCCTTAACATTCCGTCAAGAAGGAAAGTAAAGAAGTAAGGAAAGGATTTATTAACGAACTGTTTAAAATCGTTCCATCGTGCCAGTCTAATATTTTGAAATCATTTTTGATTTACTTTGTAACATGGAAGACTTCAAGCTTGTATGAAAATATAAGAACCTATTGATCTCTGCGTATTCCTATATCAATGGAAGGGATTTCTTGACGAACTGTTTATATGAGAAAATAGTTCAATCGAGTTTGTTTAATATTTTGAAATCATCTTTGAATACGTTTTCACAGCATTGCCCACGTGACGACAATGTGATCATATTTTAAACGGAACGCTGATCTTATATAAAAAATTTTGGTTATCTGTTTGGATTAGTTGTGCTCTTATGTCCATTGTCTTTTTCATGTTGAATTTTATATGTTCTAATGTTAATTATGTTTTATGAATATGTCCTGATGATGGTCTAAAATAGACTGAAACGTCCGACGTTGACTTTATATTAACATTAATACAGCATAATTGTATATTAGGATTTTTGTTTGTTTTTTCTGTATATTTTTCTTCATACATATACACACACATATATATATATATATATATATATATATATATATATATTATTTAATGGAACATGCATTAATATATATATATATATATATATATATATATATATGCACAGAATGAAAAGTCTTTAGTGAGGAGAAAGGACAATAAGAGAACAGGTTTCAGGTTGATAAAAGATGATGATTGGCATTGCATTTAAATTTTTGAAGATAGTAGGTGCAAGAAATTGGAGAATTCCACAGGTGAGAAGTGCAAAAAAAAGAAACTATTAGAATAGAACTTATGTTTGCATCTAGCTTGTTCAACAGTAAAACAGTGAGACCTAATTGCCAATCTAGTCGCATGCTTAAATTCATGAAGTCAACACTCCAAGAAGGAAAGCTCATCAGAACAATTGCCATGAAAACACTTATAGGAATGGCAGAGGGAAGCCACATTATGCTAAAATGGAAAAGTGACTAAAGTCAAGATGCCAGGTCATCATCAACATTGCAGGCGTATATTTTGTTGAACCAGTACTGAGATTAATCTTGCACAAAGCAAGGTGTGTCCTGCTTGACAGAGGATCTCAGTTTATCTATCTAAGTACACCTGTCACTAGCATCCTCTAGGTCTAGGCCCAATCTTTTCCTGTCCTTCCAAAAACCTCCTCCCAAGTCATATTGGGCCATCCTCTTCTCTCAACTGTCATGTAATGAAGTGAGAACATTACTGACCCTCCTTTTGATTTTGTCAAGTCTTGAGATATATAGCCATAGTGTCAGTAACAAGAAAGTTCATTTAATTAAATATACAGTAGCTGAATATATATTTAACCAATCTGTGATTCGTAATTCTATTTCTCTGCTGTTGGTCAAACTAAAACTGAATTATTTAGCTGAAAGAATTTTTTAATGATGGGAGGGACATTTGTTAATGTGCTGTGAGGCCTTTTAATGACTGGCTATGAATTGTTGGAAATTTTAATGTTGACATTAATGGTTTAAATAATGGTCACTTTATTTTCTGTTCACTAAACATGCAAATGGTTTCAAGGAATAGAAACAAAACAAAAGGCATAATTTAGTCATTTTCTTTTTAAACTAGTACTCTACTAAGTGTTTACTGGTGTTTTTTTATTTTTTTAAAATAATGCTAATATTTTGTAACAATAGGGATGACATAATACGTGATATACTGGGTGTAAAATCATGTAACAGTAAAATTATTCAATTGTTAGAAGCTTTGTCTGGTGGCATATAAGGTAATCATCTTATTATTGCAAGTTACTGGCTACCTGAAGATTGTGTGCAAACACATGAAACTTAAAGTAGTGGCCAGTCATTGCTTACCTGGTTATTGAATTAATATTCAAATGTTCTGTCATTTTTATGGTATAGAACACTTTTATACCAAAAGGCTAATTTTGGACAGACTCTATTTAAAGCTGCTTATTCAAACCTTGGAATTGTATGTGTGTGTGTGTGTATATATATATATATATATATATATATACACACACACCAAGTATAGGATTGGTGTATATGGAGTAGATTCCAATAACCAACAAATTCTATTCTTAAAAGAGTGCTCAATACAGAGTAGAGCAAATATAATTATTTATTTGAAAATTATAACATAAATATGGTATAAAATAAATACAAAAATAACCATTTTGTTTCAACACTTCTGGTGTCTTATCAAGTGATGGTGTTGAATAAAGAACATAGAATAAACCCTTTATTCTATATTCAACACCATCACTTGATAAGACACAGAAGTGTTGAAATAAATTTTTTTTGTAGTGATTTTATAACATATTTATGTTTATTTTCAAATAAATAATTATATATATATATATATATATATATATATATATATATATATATATATATAATGCCACCATGTAACAGCAAAATTGTCCAATTTCTAGATTAAGATTTGAACTGTTGTATCTTAAAAATGATATCTTACTAGAATTCTTCAAGGTTTTTATAACACTATTGGACTCTACTTTGACCAATAAGAATATATTTAGCTATGAGTTAAAATGATGACCCCTGTTCCTGTTGTGATCCCCTGATCATGTTTTTGACTCTACTGTTCCCTCTTTTTTAAACTTATTCACTGTTTTCTTGATGGTTCTTGAATGGACTTTGAAGAGGGAAGCCAGAGTATGAATGTTGATGCCATTACTAAAGGCCTGAATGATCTTTTTCCTCTCACCATTGCTCAGTTGGGGAGACATAGTGGGGCTGATACAAAATGATTTTCACTTGTTCTCTTTCTAGCTAAATAACACAAAGGATTTTTCTATGATTCTTACAAAAAATGGTATCAAGATGCCTAAATGTCTTATCTGAAAACCTGGAAAAAAGAAACACAATTAGTTTAATGTTTTTTAGATATTAAACATTTTGTAGGATGGACAATTATCATATGCTGTAACATGATTGGACAATTTTGCTGTTACACCAGGTGTGTGTGTGTATGTATATATATATATATATATATATATATATATATATATATATATATATATATATGATGAGAATGAATAGAGCACAATTCCAATGTTTGTAACATTTAATTTAAAAGACGGCTCAATACAGACTAGAGCAATATTATTTATTTTAGGATATTACGCCAAAAACACGTAAAAATTGCTACACAATTGCAGTTGTGTTTCAATGCATATCAGTGCATCTTATCATGTGATTGTAAATTACTGTCGAGTGAACAATTTATTTAGATTTAAAAACGAAATACAACCTCTTTTTATGAAAAAAACAAAAAAGGGCGTTATAAAGTTTGTGGGCTTTACTCTGATCAACCAATCAATTGTGACATACGTTAAACTAAAGCAGATACATATGGTTATATAAATTATACAAACTAGACAATGTAGTTTCCTAAGAAGTCTTCGCTTAGTTTAAATTTATGCCTGGCTGTTGTTAGCTGCCAATCTACAGGTCATGACCCATTTATAAAAAATAATTTTTTAATTTTTGCTTCAAAGATCATGTTTTTGGTCTTTTTTGTGTACATTCGTTCGTCTTGGTCATTATCAAAAATTAAATGTTTCCAGCATCATATGTGCGAGTGAATATTTGTGTGTGTGTTCACACGTACATGACTGAATATTCAGAATTAGCCAAAACATCTACTGCACCATTACAAAAATATTTTTGTAGGTCTGTGAGACAAGCTATCATTTTAAAATATTTTTGTAGGTCTGTAAGACAAGCTATCATGTTCTTCATCAGGCACAAGGACACAGTTTATGGGATCTTCAGTGAGGATTTGCTAAACTCTAGTGAAGCCTGAGTGATTACCTGTGTGTGAGTCTCTTCAAAAGGACAAAAAAAGACACTGAGAGAGTTTATTTGTTGTCAACCATGACTGTTGCTCTGGAATGAACGTCTCCAATTAGCCTATCACATCTGAGGTAAATGTTGCTGGTACAGTAGTAGGGATGGCACTTTCCCACTAATAGTGTTTTTTTGTTTTTTTTTGCTTTTATATAAATAGTAGGCTGGCAAAACACCATCTGCCATAAATTACATAAGAAGCAGAAGTCTTGTGGAAAAATGGAAACTAAACAGTGGATATCAGCACAAGCAATGAGTAATGTATTTTTGCAGTGTTGAGTGCAATGTGTGTGTAACAAGTCACATTCTGAGTGGCCTTGCATAGCTGTTAACTTACAAAAGGAAGCACATTTTGTAGATGAAAACTTTCTCAATACAACAGTGTTATTGTGCTTCCTGTATTGTTGAAATGGGAGCATTACTTTCGAAGGGTTTATTTGCATTGTTTCTTTTAAGAGAGTCTGGTTGCATTATTTCTTTTCAGAGGGTCCGTTTGCATTATTTCTTTTCAGAGGGTCCATTTGCATTATTTCTTTTCAGAGGGTCCGTTTGCATTATTTCTTTTCAGAGGGTCCGTTTGCATTATTTCTTTTCAGAGGGTCCGTTTGCATTATTTCTTTTCAGAGGGTCCGTTTGCATTATTTCTTTTAAGAGAGTACATTTGCATTATTTCTTTTCAGAGGGTCCGTTTGCATTATTTCTTTTCAGAGGGTCCGTTTGCATTATTCCTTTTCAGAGGGTCCGTTTGCATTATTCCTTTTCAGAGGGTCCGTTTGCATTATTTCTTTTCAGAGGGTCCGTTTGCATTATTTCTTTTCAGAGGGTCCGTTTGCATTATTTCTTTTCAGAGGGTCCGTTTGCATTATTTCTTTTCAGAGAGTACATTTGCATTATTTGTTTTGGAGGGTCTGTTGGTGTTATTTCTTGTCAGCGAGTCCATTCCCATTATTTCTTTTTGGAGGGTCTGTAGTAATAGAAAAATAAAAATTTCATAATTTAAAAAAAAAAAGAAAATTATGGAACCCTTTTGGTTTACAATGAAAAATAAAAACGAAAAGATAAGGAAAAAAAGAAATAAATAAAAGAGGTCAAAAGGTCGTCATTCCTAAATTTAGGTGAAGGAAAAGGGAACCAATCAGAAATCCAGAGACAATTCAGAAATGAATTCCTTTGTCTTGGAAAAGTGTATAAAGACAATCTGACAAAAGGAACCAGAGTGAGACAATTGAGTACATACGTACTCATTAGCATTAAGGACTTTCACTCTGATACTTAAAGGGACTTAGACGTTCAACACTCGAACCTTCTGATATGAACTTATGAACTCTTTAAATTTTGGATGTTTTAAGATAAATAAAATGTTATCTTTGCATGCAAAATATATCTTTGTTTGTACTAAATTATATTTTCATTCATTTTTAAAAGGTCAAAAAATTGGTATATATTGGGATAAAGACATTATCTGAAGATAACCAACTGTAAACCCACAAATCACCAAAACCCACATTAAATCCAAAATTGTATATACCCCTGAGGCGAATGAAGAAAACAGTAACCAGCGAGTAAATTCAAGCTCTCCCAGCTGGTATTTCAACCTTGAGTCGTTCCTTCTTGAGTTCTGTCTCCAAATCACACTAACTGCCCGTTCTTGCCGTCAACCGTGAACGTCCCTCGAAGAACTAATATTTATTTGTATTAAAAATACAAAATGTGGCACATGGCCAAAGAGGGGGATGGGGGAATGACGGTCTTCTTCTGTCTTTAATCTAAAACTTAGCTAGTCAAAGACACTGACCCAACCATGCCAACAATAATCCAATCACCAAAACATCACATTCACTCCTACCTTTCTTACTACGTCCACCATAATACCTCACTTTCTCTATGACGTCCTAAATAGTCCCCTTATATACAAATATTGTTCATGGGGAGGGTCATAAAATAACAACTTTTAAAATCCCCAAATGAATATTTACAAAATGAAATAATTATTTACAATAAACTAAACAAAACTGAGTTAGTAATAAAACCCCCATAAACTATGAATGTGGCAGAAATATCAGTTAACCGGACGAAATCGATGCGGGACTAAAAAAAAAATGAGTACACATTCAAACCATCAAGCATTCACACAAACACTCACTCATTCATACACAACAACAAATACGAAAACACACACCTAAAACGAAAAGGCGTCCCCATCCACCAGAAAACTGACATCACTAACCACCTAACGAGGGAGGGATGGGGAATTAAACAAAAGTAAAAATAGGGACAGAAATAAAAGGGACCAATGAGCTTACATACCCTAGCTAAGTTAAACGGGAAAAAAAATAGGAAAACTAAATATTCAACAAACAAAAACCTAGTCTAGCCTAATATCGGGGTGGGTTGCCTCTGTTCAACCCTGTTGGGACAATATTCTGTGCCTAACCGACATCTAAATGCCACTCTAGGTCAGCCCCTTTCACTCTACACATTGGCGCAAGATTCACCCACCTTTTGCCAAATTCTGATGATGGGAGCCGCCGCCTTTCCGTCTAATCTTGACTTTAAGCTGATGCCTAAAGTACAAGATCAGTTGGGAAGAGGTGAACTTCTCGCCTTCATAGAATCCCTTCTGTCGCGTCGTCCAAATCACGACTCGCATAACCCCTAGTAAGCAACAGAACACATAGTGTTCAGCCTTAAATCAATTGCGATACCACATTGCTACAAACAGAACTGGCTTCCAGGACAAAAACTTTCCCTGCAGCATGCGAACCATGAGGCCTTCAACAAACTTGCACAACGGCACTACCGCCTTGCACTGAAAAAAGGCGTGACCACGGTCTCGACATTCCCAGTACAGCGACGACAGTTTGGATATTTCTCAAGCCTGCTGAACAAAGTCTTTTTGCCGACCCAGAGGGCCCCACGAATCATCAGCCAGGTGAGTGATGCCTCATCGTTATTGAGACATTTCAACCCAGGCGCCCAAGGCCATATCGAGCGAGCCTCCTGCTTCGTAAGACCGAGCTCGTCGATCAGACCATCTTGAACGGACCCCTAACTAACACTCGATATAATGCCTTACGAGACAACGGCGGGCGTCGGAGAGGCCATCCGGCGTCCGCAAGAGGAGTTTCAAAGCGACGACATTCACGGTGAAGGAGCACTCGCCACGAGATGTACGACCGGCCTCCTCCTCGCACGAGTGCACACTTCTCAGGGATGGGAAATGTTCTGGACATCTTCTTTCCAAAAAGGTGCCCACCTCATCCAACCCGCGACACATTCGGTCTAGAAAGGTGTCGTAGCATATATTGACGAATCTCAATGCTAGGCATCCCCAGACCGCCCTCAGAGGGATGAAGGCAACAGATCTCGCGACATACCATATGGGCCTTGCCTCTCCACAAGAAAGAGAACAAGGCCTTGACTAATGATATTAGTCGGGCATACGGGGAGTGGAAGCACAGAAAGACGGTAGAGGAGGATCGGATAGATGTGTGAACCACAAACTTCCGCCCTTCCCTTCGGGAAAGTCTCCTCCGAGACCACAGATTAGCATGGCCTCGGCCGCCCTTGTACCTCCGACCAATTCTTTTCCAACTGGAGATCAGGACCGAACCAGACGCCGAGTATCTTGATCGGCCCATCCGTCCAGAGGAAAGGTCCGGGAAGAGAAACTCCCTTCCACGCACCCAACCGCAAAGCCCACAGACTTATCACGGTTGATTTTGGCCCTGTCACCATCTCATACCCACTGATCTGCTTGCTGACTGTTAATCTCGGCTCTGCTCGACACAAGAACCGAAACGTCGTCAGCATAGGCAGAATACCTGGCCGAGGTGGAAGCACCAGGCAGCGAAATACCGCGTAGGGACCGATTCGCCTTTAACTTGCGAAGGAAAGGCTCCAACGCAAGAACGTAAAGCAGAGGCGATAGCGGACAACCTTGACGAATGGAGCGAGACAATACGAAAGGCCGATCTTACCCCATTCACTTCCACCAGCGCACCGGGGTCGCATACAAGAGTCGGATCCAGGAGCGAAAGTCGGCTCCGAAACCGGCCGCCGCAAGGACAGCCTCCAGAAATCGATGGTCAACCCTATCGAAGGCCTTGGACTGATCTAAATTGATCAGCGTGGCTTCACTGTCGACTTGTTCTAAGATCAAGTGTACCATATGAAGGTTATCCTGAATAGTCCTGCCCTTCACAGCACAAGTCTGTTCAGGGCCAATCAGACTAGACAGGACAAGCTGCAAACGGTTGGCTAAGATCTTCGCCAAAAATCTTTAAGTCAGTGTTTAACATCGTTAAAGGGCGAAAGTTCCCTAACCCATCCCCACCGTCCTTGACCTTACGCAGCAACTTGATGACACCCCTGGTGAAGCGTTGAGGTAAGACCCTGCCTCATCCAGTGGTTGTACATCAGTTCCAGCAAAGGAACAAAACGTGCGACAACCTCAAGTAAACTTCGTAGGGAAGACCATCTAATCCGGAGACTTATCCAGGCCAACCTGCTTCAGCGCTTCCCAGATTTCCGACCCTGTTATGGGACCCTCGCACCTAGCCACTTCAGCTGCCGAGAGGCAGGGAAAAGTCAGCTAAATAGGCGTCGAACTGAGCAGAGCTCAGACCGGGCTCCCTGGTGAAAAGCTCCTGAAAGTAATCTCGAAAGACCTCACATATGCCCGCGTTTGTAGTCACGGTCCGCTTATCCGGTAATGTGACGACGCTATATGTCACCTGGCGGCCGTTCGATTTTCCTCTACACGCAGTTCAGCGGCCATATTCGTTGCCTCAGAAGACATTCTTTTAACCCAGCCCTAACTACCAGAGCTTGATCCTTCTTGATAAGCAAGGAGGCCAACTCTGCCTTAGCTAAGACTATGTCCCCACTAACACGGGATTTCACGGCCCGATCAACTTTTTTCTTCTAAAGCCGTTTGCGCGCTAATTTATCTAAATTGAGCCGACGACTAAAGTCGGCAGCAAACGTTCGTATCTTAGATTTTAAATTTCCCCACCAGGCATTTCCCACAACCGCCCCGTCAATTCCTCTGGATCGTTAGTAGCAGCTGGTCCGGAAACCCTGATCACTGAAAATGAACAGTTCAATTTTCAGTAACCAGCCAACCTAACCTTAGGTTTATCTAAGTTTACGGACCCGGACAAGCCTATGATCCGTATAAACTATATAATGGAAACTTGGACACCCTAAGAGCCCTACATCGACTCTCCTAACTAAGACTCGGTCCAGGTAGCTGCAAGCGAGCCAGGAGCCGAGCTGCCACTAGTTGTCCAAGTCCATACTACCTCCCGAGGGGTGTTCATTCCGAACTTATCGGCGAGATCAAACCCATCGATAAAGTCCCGAAATGGTTTCACATCCGGGTTTTTAGTACCTTTTGTGCCCTATACGATCTATATCGGGGTCAAGGACGGCATTCAATCCCCGCTAAAACTACCCGACGAGACGTCGTCAAGAACGGCGCGATCTGCCGAAACAAAGCAGGCGCTCGGAATGGATATTGGGCGCATAAACCCCAATGAGACGAAGAAGCTTATCCTTTATGGTAACATCCAGCATAATAAAGCCTGCCCGCCGGATCCGCGAAGACAAGGGTAAATGCAGCCTTCAAAGACCTGCTCACTAGCCAAGAGACACCCTCGAACAACCATCAAAACAAGCTGAATAAAGGGCGAACCCCTAGACAGTATGTCCTCATGATCATGAGAAGAAAACCGGGTCTCTTGTACACAACATATATTCACCCCGAGGCGCTGAAGGTCACGAGAGAGCCTCGCCCTGCGAACTCGGACCTCAGGCCCCGGCATTCAAACTAGCTAACCAGAGAGCCATTGTGAAGCCGATTAGGGTTGCCCTTCAGGATAGAACATGGCTGGGGTGGGGAGGACACCCACAGCTTGTCCCATTGAGCCAGACACCATCTCAGTATCGAGCGTGTCATCCTGGGAC